AAGGCCGTGGTCTAGGCAACACGGGGTTTTCCTCCGTGGCATCCCCACAATTACTCCATTCACACCCAGAAGAAGGCAATGGCAAACCCCTTCTGGATCATCTGCCAAGAACGTATATGAACAGGTCCCAGTCCGAGAAAAGGATGGAAGGATCCTGTTCATATGGACCTGTCGTCAGACAGAACACTAAATAAAATAATAAATACATTATCGAGGCTGAAGTCATTCATTGCAGATGTAAAGTTAAGTAAAAGAGATTGTTATATTTAAAACCTGGGTATAGAATTGACGGAAATTGCTACGAAACCAATTTTAGGTTTTGATATGACAAAGATGGTTGCAAAAATATTCACACTACATACATGATCTTCAAATTTAGTTTTATGAATGAGATTTTTAATCTTCTGGTAAATTAATAATACCCACTCTCCCGATTTGGCATAGTTATTATTGCTTAATGTTCGCTTATTGAAACAGATGTATTATTTCAGATACATATACACCGATTTCTTCCTGTGCTACTATTAAGTCGGAGCAGACAAAGTTAGAAATCAAATAATGTGGGAGGCTATAAATAAAATTAATGATAGAACTCAATTCGTGTTTCAGAAGTGACCAACACAGATACACATTGCTCATGGTTATAAATCATATTTTCGTGTTTTATTTTAAGCGTCCACCAAATCGAATTTTTTTTAAATTAAAAGCTATATATTGTTTAAATCTTGTCAGTCTAATCACAATAAAATTCCTATTAATATTAAAATATTACTATAATTAACATTTAAATATTTAAAATATATTAAATGATGTTCTCTATCGAAATGTTCGATTTACATTAGATCATCACTTTTACACGACATGTTTCAGTTCTAAAAGAACCATCTTCAGGTGTATAAAATTATATAAACTTAAATATAATTTCTTAAATGCAACTTTTAGTCAGATGTTTATCAGATTTAAAATGATGTTTTCATCATCTCATTAAAAGCTATAGGTCTTTATTACATGCTTGTTTTATTTTATGTATTTGTACGGTGAGTTCTTTGCTTTAGAATCGATATAATTCAATGTATTTCGTGTTAAGTATAGTTTATCTGTAGCCTACATGAACCGAAAATAAGTTCGTTCGGCAACTCTAATTGTAGCCGTCCTATACCAAATTTAATCTAAATCAGTACAATACTTTAATACTTATAAAATGCGGAGAGAGACAGACGAAGTGACACATCGCCTACTTTCTGTGAAGAACGTATAAAAAGTCAAATGTAATTACGCTACGCTTTGTCCGTACAGGAGTTTACGTTACAAACCATATCAAATAAAGCAACTCTGTGTTCTACTGAAAAAGGCGAGATTATTCATGAATAAATGTTCCTTCTGTACTCGTCGGCATAGTTTTGTTTCAGTACACACAGAGAGATGGACGTGTATTTGGTGCATGTTAAATTCCGTGCA